CTATCTGTCTGGGTGAGAGACAAGACAGTGTGGACTGAAGAAGGGATGAGCTTGAGGGGTGGCAAGAAGGGAGGCCCCAGGATGCGTGGCAGCGTTGGGTGACAAGCTGGGTGTGTGGGTGATGACTGGGTGCCTGGAAAGACAGTGATATGTAACTGGCTGTGTGTCCTTGGGGAAGTCACTTAACCTCTGTGCCTCCATTTGCTTTTCTATAAAACGGAGGAGATAACAGCACTTATCTCATCGTGTTGTTATGGAAAGTAAATGGGTTAAGAGATAGAAAACACAGAAAGGTGGGCACCTGGGTGGCTCAGTTCATTGAGCATCCAACTTCAGCTCAGGTCATGATCTCACAGTTCCTGAGTTCGAGCCCCACATCAGGCTCACTGCTGTCAGTGCAGAGGTCGCTTCCGATCCTCTGTCCACCTCTCTCTCTCTGCATCTCCCCCAATCATAAATCAACTTCTCTCTTTCCAAAATAAATAAACTAAAAAAGAAAACACAGAAAGAACACATGGTATGGAATAGGTGCTAGGAAGCCAGCAGCTGCTGTTATTATTGCTGAGACTGGAAGGATTGGGGATGTGAGAGAAAGGTGGTGTGAGGTGCTGATATCCGGCGGATACAGAAGCTCTGAGGCCTTCTCAGCACCTTCTCGTTTGATGGTCTTATCTTTGGTTTTACCTTTTTAAATTGTAAGAAACATATAATGTTTTATTTTACTTATTTATTTATTTTGAGAGAGAGAGAGAGACAGCGTGAGCAGGGGAGGGGCAGAGAGAGAGGAAGACACAGAACAGAAGCAGGCTCCAGGCTCTGAGCTGTCAGCATAGAGCCCAACGCGGGGCTGGAACTCGCAAACCGTGAGATCATGGCCTGAGCCGAAGTTGGACGCTTAACCACAGAGCCACCCAGGTGCCCATGTAAGATACATATAGCATAAAAGTTAACCATGGCATTGGTGATTGGTTACCATCACATCACTGGCATTAAGTAACTTTGTCTTTCAACCAATACTAATGTGCAAAAATGTTGCAGGAATAGTAAGAAGAACTCTCTAGAGCCTTCGCCCAGATTCACAGCGCTTGGCCTTTTGCGACATTCGCTTTATTTGCTCCCTCCGTCCCTGATGTAGACACATTGTTTCTTCTCGACCATTGAAGAGTGAGCTGGGACAGTGCGTCCCTCTGCCCCTAAACACTTCAGGGCCTGTACCCTTAGAGCAGAGACATTTCCTGCACAACTACTGAATTCAGGAATTTATTATTGATATGATATTATCTAATGCATGTTTATATCGTTATTGCCAATTACCCCCATTACCGTTCTTCATGGCACACACTCCCCACCCCCATCCCAGGATCCAGTTCAGGATCACACATTGCACGACTGCACATGGGTGTCACCTGCAAGCCCTCTTCTCAAGGAGGCATCTCCTCAGTTCTCAGGCCCGGGAATTCAACGCCCATGGAGGTGCATGCTGTCTACACCTGTGCATGTGCACACTGAAACATGGCACCGTCCAAGCCGGTGCACTCAATGCCAGCTGCCTGGGTCTCCCTGATGAGAAAAGGGAGCTCACCCCCTGGGTCTGTTTGTCTAGGATTAAGGTTAAAATGAGTTTTGCGTTGCCTGGACACACACCCCTGGAAGGGACAGCGGAGTGAGCCTTTGGGGCTGTGTGGGCATGAGTGGGAAGGGGCAGGGCCAGCTGGCGCTTGGAGATGCTGGACAGAGAGGAGGCTGGACTCTGGCGCGTGCCCCAAGGGTGGGGAACAGGGGCGGCCATGGTGCCTCGAGCAATGTAGTGAGGCGGTGGGCGTGTCCTGGGACCCCCATGTCTGTGGCGGCGGGCGGGGGGGGGGGGACCTGAAAAGCCTGACCTCCGCCTACACTGCTGTTCCAAGGCCGCTCATGAAATAGGCTTCCATCCTCTGGTCTTGGGAGTCTAATGCATTTCCAGAGTTCTTGAAGATCGAAGGGGAGTGTGGGCAGTAGTACCTCCAGCCCATAAAATCCGCCCATCTCCCTCTTCTATGCATAATCATACTTAAGCACCCAGGGTGACCTAGCAGGTGTTTCTAGGATTCCAGAAATATTTGATTGTTCACAATTTTTTCACCTTTGTGGGAGAGAGGACTGGAAGACCTAACCCTTCAACGAACACTGGCTTCCCAGGTTAGGAATATTATCTCATCTGATCCTCTGAATGCCCTGCAAAGGAGGAAATATTATCTCCACTTTATAAGCAAAGAACATGGGTGATGTGTAGGAAAGGTAGTCAGGAGGCTGAGGTTTGCACCCTGGGTCTGTTGAGGGATTTGAGATAACATAGCTACAGCTCTTAGTGCCGGCACACAGTAGGCGCATAAATGATGGTTTGATATTGCTGCCACCGCCGCTCGGCCAAGGTCACACCCTTCTCAAAATTCAGAGCACATATGGAATCTAAGGCCCTTCTATGCCGAGTCGCCATGTCTTTTTTATTTTTCAATTATATTCAAAAGAGTAAACAGAAGCCTCAACCATGGCTTTTGAAGGTCTGGTTTACACCTCATCAAAATCAGAGGGTACATACTTGGTGAAGGTTATTAGACAGTCAGTGGGGTGTGTGTGTGTGTGTGTGTGTGTGTGTGTGCGCGCGCTGCATCTCAGGTCTGGGGAGACATTCCTCAGATGGGCTGGCCCCCGTCCCAGCAACTGGGTCGGATCACTGGGTTTGAGAGATGTGAAGAACAGGTGTGTGTTGGCCATGTAAATCAAGTAGAGGCAGAAAAAAATTACCAAGAGGCAGACAAAAGATGACGGCTCGAGGTTATTCCCACTTCAGATTTCTCTGAGAATGAGAAGATGAGTTGTTCGTGGCCCCCAAATGGCCAAAGGGTAGAGATTGCTCGTCGTAACCCAGGTTCTCGTGGATATTTTCAAAACATCTGTCTTGAATCTCCTGTCTTAGACATGAAGCTATTAGGTTATTAAGCTGGGAGCGTTAGCACCACCAGCCCATCAGTAACAATTTGACTTACTATGTGTCCAGCTTTGGGGGGGGCGGTTCCCATAGGTCATATCCCTGGGCTCCAAGGTCAACCTCATCTCACTGGAGGAACAAGGGGAATATCGAGAGAGCAAACAAAAATCTCCCTTTGAGGGGCTTGGCTGTAGGTTCCTCCGAACAGCATCAAGTCAGTGAGGGCTCCTGGTGACCTTTGTTGGGCTCACATTTAATGGGCTTTCTCTACACGCCGGGAGCCAAGTGCTTCCGGTGTACTGTGTCATGTACCCTCCCACCTGCCCTAGAATAGGTAACTTCTATTTTTATCCCTACCCCATAGGCAGGGAAACTGAGTCACAGCGAGCTCAGCAGCTGGCCCAGTCATACAGCTAGTCGGTGGCAGATCTGGAATTCAAATCCAGACAGTCTGGCCCCAAAGCCAGTGCCCTTCTTAGTCCCATCACCTCTGCCGTCCGCCCCGAGATGCTCGGCTAATCCTTGACGAATGAGAGAGTTTAGAGAAACAAAACACCGAGGGATGGGAGCACCACAGACCTGGGGTTGGTAGTACCGGTGTGTGACTATAGGCAACTTAAGAAATATTTCCGAGCCTCAGTGTCCTCATCTGATAAATGGGGATAGCATCTTCTTCATAGAGTGGTGTGACGGAGAGAATGTGTTCAGAGCATAGAGCGAGGAGTATTATTGTTAGCAATGGAGGGTGGCAGTGCAGCCTGACCAAGCATCTGGGATGAACATGAACTCCGTGTGTGGCTCGGAAGGATGGTGGGGAGGGAAGTGTCGGAGCGAGAATGTGAGATGGGTATAACAGGCGAGTAAAAATAAAATAAAAGCTGGCTGGGAAGTATGAGGCCAGGGCATTGAGGGCCTAGGAAGCTACCAATAAAATGCGTCACAGCGCTTCAAAGCACAGGTGTGTGGACTTTGTTGATGTATGGAAATGTGTGTTTGGGGAAAAAAAATAGAATGCAAAACAGTATGTACAAACTGACAGCTGTGTACACATATCATGGTCTGTCAACCTCACAGTCAGAAGGGCATCTGCGGTGCTATAAATATTCCAGTTCACCACTTTTAATTAATTTATTTTCCTGTAAATACCTCATGAAAACCAAGAGTGAATAGGAGACCGGGCTGAGGCATTTGGCTTTTAACTTGTGGACACACATGGGGGCGCAAGGCAGATTCATTTGGTTTGGTTTGTTTTAATTGAGATCGAATTCACGGACAGTCGATTCTCATTATTTACAGATTCTGTATTTGCTAATTCGCCCACTTGCTAAAATGTACTTGGAATGCCCAAAGCAGTACTCAACACGCTTGGGACATGTGCACAACTGTGAAAATTTGGAGTTACCTGATGCACACGGTCCCAGCTGAGATTAGACAGGATACTCTGCCTTCCAGCTTCAGCTCTCATACTGTAAATAAGTATCCTTTGATCTGTAGTGCCGTATTTTTCACATTTCTTTGCTTTTTGTTGATTTCACTATTTATTATTTTTCAAATTTTCTTTTAACATTTATTTATTTTTGAGAGACAGAGAGAGACAGATCATGAACAGAGGAGGGCCAGAGAGAGAGGGACACACAGAATCAGAACCAGGCCCCGGGCCCTGAGCTGTCAGCACAGAGCCCCACGCGGGGCTCGAGCTCATGGAGTGCAACATCATGATCTGAGTTGAAGTCTGACACTTAACCGACAGAGCCACCCTGGTGCCCCAGATTTGGCATTTTCCAATTCAGTGTTTGAAGCAACTTTACGGACCATAATTCGTGCAAATCACAAGACTCACCTGTACATAGGATTCACCCTTTTAAATTAGCCCTTTTATATATTATATATTATATTAGTATATTCACAAGGCTATGCAACATCACCATCACTGCTGATTTTCCAGCAGTAAAATGACATCTGAGAGCAGCAAGTTAAGAATTATTTATTTGTCTGTCTTTTCCGGTTCCCTGATCTCTCTGTCCTCTTTCAGAATGCCCAGGAGAACCATGGACTGGCTGTGCCCACTCCCTCTGTCCCAGGAGGCTTCACAGATAAAGAAGTGACAGGTAAGAGGACCCTGGGCTTGGGGCCTGTCCATCTTCCTTTCCTCCTTCCATCTGGCCCACCCCCGCTGGTGATAAAGCTGGAGCCTCCAGGCCTCTTGGCCGCTGGCTGCTGCGAGTGGGGGTTGAGGAGAGCCAAGGTTGGCTACGGCCAATTCCAGTGGGGGAGGATGGTGAGGGCCAATGCCAGAGCAGGGTCAAGGGCAGCAGGAAGCGTGGAAAGAAGCCCAGAGTCAGAAGACAGGGCTTTCAATCCCAGCACCCCCTACAGATGAGCTTTGCTCCCTCTGGGCAAATCACTTAACCCCTCGCTGTCTGTGTCTGCAAGTGAGCCATGGCAAACCTAATTCCAGTTCTGGAGGAAGCGGCAAAGTACTGGATGGTTGGTCACTTCTTGTCCCTCTGAGGTTCAAAACCCACCAATGACTTCCCATGATGCTCAAAGCAAAGGTTTTTGCCAGGACTTTCCGAACTTGGCCTCATCTGGCCTCCTGGCCTGCTTTCCCTCCCCGTCTCACAATGCTCCGGCCCACCTGCTATCTGGCTGCCCTTCAACACCCACACATTTGCACCCCAGGCTCTCTGCACTGCGGTTCCCTCCACGTCCGCTGCTCTTCCCCCGTACAAGTGTTCAGCCCCCACCTGCCCGCACTCCCTCTGGGCTCAGATGCCAGCTTCTCAGTGAGGCCTCCTCTGGCCACCCTATTCCAAGTGTCCCCCCAGCACCACTGGGCTGTCCCCACACATCACTCATCATCTGACGTGGCAATAGTTCACAGATATATTGTTCATCCATTGTCTCCTTGTCCCATTAAAATGTAAGCTTCAGGGGCACCTGGGGGGCTCAGCCAATTGAGTGTTGAACTTCAGCTCAGGTCATAATCTCACGGATCGTGAGTTCGAGCCCCCACCAGGCTCTGTGCTGACAGCGCGGGAGCCTGCTTGGGATTCTCTCTCCCTCTCTCTCTGTCCCTACCCTGTTTGCAAGCTCTCTCTCAAAATAAACTTTATATTAAAAAAAAAAAAAGAGTAAGCTCCAGGAGGGCCAGTACTTTGACTATCTTTGTTTTGTTTGCACTGCTGTCTCTCAGCTCCTCCCGCTTGGGTGCTTATTGGAGTTAATTGTCCCTCCTCCCCACACCCCTAACCCCACCCCACCCCATCCCTCAGAGCTGCACATTCCGCGGGTTTGTGCTACAAAGTGAGAGGAGGGAGGCAAAGGAGAGAGAAATAAGCAGGCCTGTTGGCCGCCTGCAGCTTGGGGGGGGTGGGCAGGGGGTAACGGGCTGGGGACCGGGTCCAAGAAGGGAGGGGTGTGGGCCGCCGGGGCCAGAGGTTCTCAGCATCCGTCTAGCACCCAGGGTTGTCCGTCCAGATCACCTTCTTGCCACACACCTCCATTCCGTCCCGCAGGCCAGAATCTGCTCTGGGAGCTCTCTGTGAGGCGGAATGCTGGGTTCTAGACTCGGGATCTCTGGAAAGCGGGAGTTGCTTGCACACAACGTTCCCTCCTACAAGTCTTTCACCCAAAACTTTCTACTGAGAAGGTCTCCAGGCCCCTGACCCACGACTTGCCGCTTTCCTCCCACTTTTCCTGTCTTATAACCTAAAAAGTTAAGTGCAGGTGGTAGTAATCAGAGCGGCCACCATTCATGAAGTGCCTACTGTGGGCCTAGCCCCATGGTAAGCTCCTCACATGTTCTTACATGCATCCTCTCGTGAATCCTCCCAACAGCTTCATGTGGTAAGCATGGACATCGTGCCCATTTTATAGATGATGAGCTTGAGGCTCAGCAAGACTAGCTAGTGTATCCAAGGTCACACATCTGGTTAAACTGGTAGGGCTGGGATTTGAACCCTGGCCTTTCTGGCTTTGTATCAGCCAAGGCCCCCATGAGAAACAGACGGCACACTCGAAGAGTTTAAGGGAGGGGTGATATGCAGTGGGGTGGGCAAGGTTTGGGGACTGGAGTGGATGCTGACACCCACCCTGGAGGCCGAGGGAGTGGAGGGGGCTCCTAGATCTCTGAGCTGTGGGATCGGGCTAACCTGACAGGAAAGCAGCCTTTGGCGACTGTGACCCATCAAGAAGGGAGCTGGGGACCAATGCCCTGGCCTCTCTGCGCCCACCCTCTGATCTGCCAGCAGCTCCCATCGGCTGAACCCACTTGGAGCCGGAGGATAAGGCAGCCCCCGGCCCAGGGAAGGGGGGAGTGAAACAGATGCAGAATATTCAGTACAGGCTCCAGAGGCCGTGCCCAGGAGAGGCAGGGCCCCCTCCCTGGAAAGGAGGGGCTCACTCCCAGGCCAGCTCAGGAGACCAGAGACATCGCTGCTCCCTCGCTTGGGGTTCGGGAGGAAAGGCATGAAACCGGCCAGTTACTGTCTCGGGTGCCGCCCCACCCTGGCCACACAGACATGGGCAAGGCTGCCTGGCCTCATGGCCCCCCCTTCTTTCATCTCCCTTCTTTCAGGTACCAGCTCACTCGTCAACGGCAACCTCCGACTGTACAGCTCTGTAGGTGACCTAAGGCCCGGGCACTATGGGCAGGACCCGCTCATCCCCCCGCCTCCCCCGGGCCCGGCCCCAGGGCCACCCCCAGGCATTTTGCAACCTCGAGAGGAGTCCCCCCCACCTCCGCCTTCCATGGCTCCCCCCCCACCTCCCCTGCTGCTGGAACCCCCACCCCCACCCAGCACGGCCCCACCTCCGCCCCCAGTACTGGGGGCCCAGGCCCCCCTCTCCACCCTGCCCTCCCCATCCACACCCACCCCTCCTGACTTCATTCCTCCCGCCCCGCCCTTGACCTCTCTAGTCCCACCTCCACCTCCTTTGCCGGCCCCAGCACCCCCGGCATCTCCACATACAACGGGGACTCGCTTCTTTCCCCCTGGGGGTGTCACCAAGTGGAAATCAGAGGTAGCACTGAATGGCAGGCAGCCGGACACCCCCAGAACCAGCCCCCCCCAGAGCCCAGCTGAGCCAAAGGGGAGCCTCCTGAGGCCTAAGCCAGAGCCCCACCTCACTTTCCCCCGCTCATTCAAGGTGCCTCCCCCAACCCCAGTCAGGACTTCGTCCATCCCAGCTCAGGAAGCACAGGGGACTCCTCCAGAGGAGGAAGGGGCCACCAAGAAAGCCCCCAATCGACTCCCACTGCCTCCCAGCTTCCACATCCGCCCCGCATCCCAGGTCTACCCCGACAGGGCGCCTGAGCCAGACCGCCCAGAGGGGCTCAGGGCTGCAGCCCCGGCCAGCCCCAGGCTGGGCCAGTCCCAGTCCCCGACTGAGGAACCCATGGAGACTCCCCCGCCAGCCCCTCCCCTGCCCCCTCCCGCCCCCCCACTGCCTCCCCCAGCACCGCCACTTCCCCCAGCCGCCCCTCCCTTGCCCCCTGCTGAGAAGGCAGCCCCTCCACCTTCTAGGTCAACAAAAAGCCCCAAATCCAGCCCTCTGGCCCCCAAACCCAAACCTAACCCCCCCAGCCCAGAGGACACGGAGGCTTCAGCGCCCGTGGACTGGCGGGATCCCAGCCAGATGGAAAAGCTGCGGAGTGAGCTGGCAGCCTACCTCTGTGGCTCCAGGAGGGAGGACCGATTTGTTGGTCACCGGGCAGGCCCGACAGCGGCTTCTCAGGAAAAGGAGGGCAAGAAGGGCCCCAGCGTGCCGGAGAAAGAGGCTCCCCCCAGCCTGCCGGAGAAGGAGACCCTTCCCAGTGTTCCCGAGAAGGGTCCCTCCAGCCTGCCGGATAAGCCAGCTGCCACCGGCCTGACCCTCCCCCCCGTGGACTATGTCCCCCAAGACGCCCCAGCTCCCAGTGTCCGGCAGATCCGGAGTGAGCTGGAGGCCCGCATCTCCTCATCAGCAGAGAAGGACACCAAGCCCAGTGTAGGGTCTCTGCCGCCCAAACCTCGGCTAGAAGCGGGAAGACCCTTTGAACACAGGGCTGATAATGGTAAATTCGCTAAGCCTGTGGCCAAGAATCTGCTGCCTCCATCCGCCACCCCTCTGCCAACCACACCGCTTCAGTTCAAGGCCACGCCCGTGCCGGCCACACCACCTAAGCCCACACCTGGACCGGGCACACTACCTAAGCCCACCCCTGAACTGGCCACACCACCCAAGGTCACGGCGGGGCCAGCGATGCCATCCAAGGTCATGCCTGCACCAGCCACGCCACCCAAGGTCACGCCAGGTCCAGCCACACTATCTGCAGCCACAACTGTACCCACCACGTCATCCGAGCTTACAGAGAAAAACCTGGTCCCTGCTGGGCAGTGGGAGAAGCCAAAACCCCAAGAACTTATGGTGCCCCCCCAGACAGAGGCAGAAAGGTACCCCTCAGAGGCCAGCAAGCCTGCTACACTGGGAGCCCTCTCATCTCCAGCCCTCCCACCAAAGAGATCCCCTGGCGGTGAAGAGGCGGCATTTCCCTACAAGCCCCATCGCAGCCAGAAAAGCCCCAGCCACGAGGCTGCTGTGGCAATGGCCCCGCTGACCACGGGTTCGGCCGGAGGGCCAGGGGAACCCGTGGAGGTGAAGGAGCCCCAGGGGCTGCCAGCCAAACCCCCAGCCTCAGCCCCGCCTGCTGATGAACTGCTCAGGCACCCGGTGACCGGGGAGGTGGTGCAGCCAGGCTCCCCGATGGCTCTGCTCCTTGCGGCCAGGCAGAGAGCACAGAAGGGAAGGCCAGGAGGGGCCGCCCTGGGCCGGTCCTCCCTGCCAGGGAGTCTCCGTGGTGGCCAAGGCGGCCAGCCCCAAGCAGGCTCTGACAGCATCTTCCACAAGGAGGGCCGGCCCAACTCCTTCACTGTGGTCCCCAAGTCACCCAAGGAGGCTGAGAAGGACCCCCAGCTGGCCTCCTCAGCACAGCCTACGGTACCCAGTCAGTGGAAGCCCCAGCTCCCCGAGGACCCAGAGGGCGCTGAGCCAAACCACAGACACAACGGGACAAAGGCTGGGGGAAAGCCGGCATGCTCCATCCTCCCCCAGGGCCGCCTGCTGCCCAAATCCTTCTCTTCCCCTCCTTCTCCTTCCTGCAAGAGGGAGGACGACGATGACGAGGGGGAGTTCCACTTTGAGGTCATCCCGCCGCCGCCAGAGTTCAGCAACGACCCACAGCCCCCCGCCCCGGCCATCCAGTATCCGGGGCGCCGGGGATCTCCTCCCCGGAACAACTTCTCAGACTTGGGGCAGGCCTTGGCGCCTCGGGGCTTCTCGCGCTTTCCAGCCGCGGCGCGCGCGGGGGCCGGGGGCCTGGACCGCTTCTCCGGCGGGGGCGGGGGCCGGTCGCTCATCAAGAAGCGCCTGTACGTCGGGGAGCACCAGCGCAACCCCGGGCAGCCCCGCCCGGGCACCGGCCGCAGCCTGAGCTCCCCCAACTGCTTCGGGCCGCCGCCTGGGGGCCCGGAAATGCGGCGCGTCAATTCGGCGGGCCGCGCGCCCCCGGGCGGCCTGCACGCGCGGAGGCTGTCCAAGGAGGGCGCAGCCCGCGGGGAGGCCAAATTCAAGGCGCCCGGTGGAGACTACAGCTTCTCCCCTGCGGCCTGCAGGTGAGTTGGGAGTGGGGCGAAGAACGGACCTGGGGTGGGACGCCAGGAAGGGTCCGCCCTGGGGCCACAGAGAAGCCCACCCGGCCATGGCCACCATGGTGGGGGGCGGGGGAAGGGGGGCATTGGGTTGTCTCCTTTCTGGCTCTCGGACAGAGAAAGGAACAGGAGGAGCACTTTACCGTCTTCTCTCTTGCTATCCCCACCAGCTAGCTCCCCCCTCTTCTGCCTCCTCTCTCCCACCCCCCAGAGGCTCAGGGCTTCAAGCGATGAGCGATGAGCGGTGTGGGTGGAGACCTGAGTGGTCCTTGGGTGTGGGGTTTCCCAACAACACAGAGAAGGATCCAGACCCAGGCTAGGAGTGAAGAGTCCTGCATAGAAAGGTATTAGGCAAGTACTCTGTGGCCCAGCCAAGCCTAGACGGGAGGAGCCCTGTGTCTGTCGAACCAATGCTGTTGGAAGAGGGTCCCACCCTGTCCCCCGGCGCTCATGTGGGCAGACACCATAGCACTGAGACCCGTCTTTCCCTCTTGTGTCTTTCCCTCTTGTGCCCGGAAGGGGATGGGAGGGCTGTTGGTTAACCAGCTGCAGCTATTAACCTCACCTCTGTCTGCTCCCCTACCCCAGGTCTCCCCACAACACCCCCCACTATGGAAGCCCCATCAATACGTTCACCGTGAGGCCCGGGACCCGCCATCCTATCTCCTATGCCTACACAGGGAACCACCGGAAAGCCCCATCCTGAACCCAGGGTGTTCTCAGCTCTATTCCATGGGGTCAGATCTGGGCACTTGTTTTTGCGGGGGTGGGAGGGACGCAGCAGGTGTCAGGCAGCCTGACTTAGACATGCCGGACACAGACGGACGACGAGTGGGAAGCCGTGGGAAGATCAAGAGTGGGCTTCTGTTTCCCAAAGCGCTGGTGTGGCTGCGGACTGCCTGCACGCGGGGATGGGAGGGGGAAGGAGGGAGGAGAGGAGGAACCTTTAAGCGCCTGGAGCCCGAGTTTCCGCTATCTGGTACTGTTTGCTTTAGCAAGACTTAACTTCAAGCAGTTTTACAAGCGTGGCCTCCAGAGCGGGTCCTAAAAGCAAGGGGTGGGGCACTAACTCTGAATAGGAATCCATCCCAATGGCTGTGATTGTCTGTCCGGTGCTTCCAGAGGGCTGGGGCCCGGCCCTGTCGGGTTAAGGGTGCGGGGCACTACACGCTGAGCTCTTTAACCTCCACCAGTCCACTGTTTGCCACCCCAAGAGGTGATCCCTAGGGTTCCTAGCATAGAACCCACATTGCGGTGGGCCCAGGAATGTGCACATATAACCTGTGGAGCAAGTACTGGAACAGTTCTTCGCATTGGCCAAGGGTGGGGCAGCGGGCTTGGTGGCTCCTTCTCCCTGGCCCGGGCCCTTCGCTACAGGCAAGCCTAGGGAGAGACGACTTGGCAAGTACGGGATGGGAGACAGAGGATTAAGTCTTGCTTTCCTACTCAGACCCAGGCAGCCATGATTTGGGTGGGGGACTGGGCCCAAGGAGCCAGAAGGCCTGGGAAGCTGGACCCCAAGGCCTCACATGGCCAGAACCCATCTGGGGATTGGGAGGGGCCATCCTACCCAACCACCCCTCCCAATCCCGATGCTACAGATCCCCAATATTATTGAGGCTTCAAAATGAGTAGTGAAGATGCCGGAAGACGGGGAGTGGGAGGCGGCAGAGCTAGGTAGTCCCAGACCCAAGTTCTTGGGACCAGCCAAGGCGGGCTGGCTCCGTAAGGAGGATGGGCAGTGAGTGGCCAACCTCAGAGGAGCAGCGAGACAGCCAGGAAGCAGCACCCTGTGGGTGCACGACATTGGACACTTTAGGACTTGAGGTCACCAGCCAAGATACAGGTTGTAGGGACAGCAGGGAAGAGACACTTCAGAGAAGGAGAGCATAGGCCCCCTGATGGTGCAGGATCTGGTCACCTGTGTTCAAGAAGCGAACCCCACCACAGACCAGCACTGGCCCCATATGTATGTATGTATTGTCCCTGTACAATGTTTTATAAAAGAGTTCACTAACTTATCTGCTGTGTAAGGTTTGAGGGGTGAGGCATGGGCTCCCAGCTGCAGTAGGAGGGGAAGGGCTGGCTGTCACTTGGTTTGGGAAATAAACAGGCCAGTGGGTACTGGCCTCAGCTCTGTGGCTATGGATTGATGACTCAGAGCTACCTGGGTGTGAAGAGAGGCTGGGAGGGCTCCGCTGGGGAGGCCTGAGCACCAGGTAGCCTGGCCTGGTGAGCCACTTTGCGACACCCACACTTTCTCTTCTGACCCTTAAGTTCTCATGTTCTCAAAGTCCTTCAAGGGGAAGAAGCAGAGCTAAAGTCTGGTGATAACAAATTGTGGCCTTAAGCACATCTCTTTGACTCTCTGAACCTCAGTTTCTTCTTCTGTATAATGGGCATAATGATAGTGCGTTCCTATTAAGGCTGCTGTGGAGATGGGAGACAGTCATGCATTCATTAACAAGTATTTGAGGGACTCCTGGTGGAAAGCTTAGCGTGGATATGCATGACTCCTGCTCATGGCAAGTCTGGTGGAGGAGAGAGGGGACAAAAAGAACACTTAGGAACATTATACATTATAAGCGGCGGGAGGGAAAGGAACAGGGCATGCGAGAATAACCAAAGGGTGGGGAGACCAGAGTGCATTTACTTTAACCCGGTGGTCAGGGAAGGCCTCTCCGCAGCTTGTGTTCCCAGGAGGGGTCTCCCAGGGCTCCCCTACCCTGGGGCTTCCTCCTTCCGCCCTGAGGCCCTCATCCTGGTGATATAGAGGACAGGGGCCCCTGCTCCCAGTAGGACTTGGGGCTCTGCCTCTGGCTGCTCACCCCTCCCTGATCTTCCTAACTTTTCTCTCCCCTCGCCTGACATGGGAGGGGCAGAGGGAAGTGGTGGAGGGTGGGGGCCAGGGCCCCACCTATGGCACTCCCTCTGACAAGCCGTGTGACCATGGGTCTTAGCTAACTCATGTGAAAAGTGACAGGGACAGACTTGAGCTATATGTGGGTCTTAGATTTTGTAGGGACCCAGACTTCTTTAATCTTTTTTTTTTTTTTTTTTTTTTTAAGAGAGAGAGCGTGAGCAGGGGAAGGGCAGAGGAAAGGGAGAGGGAATCTGGAAGCTCCGTGCTGAGTGCACAGCCCATCACAGGGCTCAATCCCACAGCTGCAAGATCACAACCCGAGCCCACCCATATCTAGTCGGACACTCAATGCACCGAGCCACCCAGGTGCCCCAGGACCCAGACCTCTTCAAAAAGCTGCTGATGCAGAAGGGAAGACAATAGAAATAAAATAAAAGCTGCTCAGAGCTCTGGATCCTCACCCCAGAGAGATGCTCCCTACATGCATTTTACACATGATTTAAAGCAAGCCATAGACGCCCTCCAAATAAGGCTCCATGAATTTCACCCCTGAAAACCCCTGATGTAGCGGCAGTCATGGAAACCAGCAATACTTGACCTTGACCGTTTGAAAAGTTCTTTCGTCCTCTGTGTATCCACAATCTTCTAAATACGTGTTGGGTTTGTCGGGCTCCTAATTCCACTGTGTCAGTGAGAAAATTAAGGATCCAAGAAGAAAAGGGAGTGGCTCAGAATAGCCCACCTGACTCCAAACTGTGAACTTCATTACAGCCGCCTCCCTTCCGGCGGCATCCGCTCACCACTCATTCTCCCATCAGGCCACCCTGCAAACCTTATGTCTTTCTAGCAGAGCAGAGGGTGGGAGGGCCTGAGGAGGGTACAGTTAACTCTGGTGCCGGAAAAAGTTCACTGGCATGGGTGGCACAGGTGTTCCTGGATCAGGTTGGCCACACCTTGGTTTCTGGAACCTGCCAGCTGCTACCTGGGTGTGGCCAGAACCCCACCTCTCCTGTGAGGCCTGGAGCAGCAGCAAGACGAGTCCCAGGGCAGGCTGTGCTGGGAGCCCAGGGCCTGTGGTCAGCAATGCATGAAAGCCGGCTCTCCCCAGGGCCCCACTTCCTTACAGGGAGAGGCTTCGCTCACTCCCGGCGGAAGCTGTAGGATAGAGGTGACTTGGGACCGGCGGGTGCGAGAGAGAGGCCACCTCCATGCCGGGTGGTCGGGCAGCCCTGCCCGCTCACCCCACCTGCCTACGCGCCAGCAGCCCATGGCCGCTCTTGTCTCCACAGCTCAGAGACAATGCCGGCGTGCCATCATCAGGTGTCCAGGCTGGGTGGCCGCTGACACCAGGCAGAGAACCTGGGCCTCCTCCTTCTAAAGCCCCAGGAATGGCTGCCTAGCTGCTGCAGATCCGGTGCGGGGCCTCTGGGTATATTTTTAGCCAGGAAGGTGAGAGATGGCGCACTTCTGGGAGAGGGGTAGAGACCAAGTTGGTGCTTGCAACTGTTCGCTCATTTACGTGAGGAATCCCATGGTCCCCTGCCAATTCTCAGAAGCCCTAGAAGCTTCCTTCACATTTGGCACAGAGGAGCCATGCCCCACTTCCCTCCTGGAGAACCATTCTCTGACCTTCTACAGAATGTGCTCTTATGGGTTTCTCTGTCTTCAGGCTGGCTCCCTTCCTCCACCCATGTATCTCAGCACCCTGACCTTGACCTCCAGTTGGCCTTTGCTATAGTTTCTTCTTCAGAAGACTGAGCGCCTCTGCAGCAGAGGTCCCCGTTTCCAACATCAAATTGCCCCCCGGGCATTTCTATGTGGATGCCTGGCCTGCCATTCAAATTCCGCCTTTTCAAAGGGATTATTTTCCCCTCCCTTCCAACCGGGAGACCAGAGCAGCCAGGCCTATGGCCCCGCTATCCCTAAATACAGATTCCAGCCTTGCTGCTTCTGCCCTCGGCTTCCTCAGGCTGACTCCAGATTCAATCAGAGCTCCCGCAGAAAGCCCTTCCCAGCCCTGCCCTGCTCAGAGCTGCTTCCCTCCACAGTTCTGCACCCACTTCCCTCGGCTGGCTCTGGCTCGTTCTCATCCTCCAGGCTCAACTCAGACGTCCCTCACCCCCTAGGCCACATCAGCTCCTCCTAAAGGCTTCCAGGGCCCCATAGTCCCTTCACATTGGCATGACCTGCCCCACATCTCCCTCCCCCTGCAGCTGGTAAGCTTCAAAATGTGAGGACTGCTTGCCTTTTTCATCACGGTATCCCTGGCATCTGGTACTGTTTCTAGCACTAGCAGATACAAATTGTATGTTTGTTGAATACGTGTGAGTATTTAATCAAATACTGTCAAGCACTCTTTAAGTTCCTTGAGGGCAAAGGCCAGATCTCCCATGGACTAGTGACCGCATAACTGTCTGGTTCCTACATGTGAGTAACCTGGCCTAATGCTGAGGTTCTCGGGGTGGCACAAAGTTATGGTTTTAGAGATGGGTGTCTTGGGTTTCAAAGGTATCCAGATGCCTTGGGGCGGCTTCTGCCTGATAGACTGAGGCACTCTACCCGCTACCTGGAGACAGGAAGAGGGGCGCCTGGGTGGCTCAGTCAGTTGTATCTGCTTTCGGCTCAGGTCATGATCTCGTGGTTTGTGAGTTCGAGCCCCACATTGGGCTCACTGCTGTCAGTGCAGAGCCAGCTTTGGATCCTCTGTCTCCCTCTCTCTCTCAAAAATAAATAAACCTGGGGCACCTGGGTGGCTCAGTCGGTTAAGCGTCTGAGCTCGGCTCAGGTCATGATCTCCCATGTCATGAGTTCAAGCCCCACACTGGGCTCTGTGCTGACAGCTCAGAGCCTGGAGTCTGCTTCGGATTCTGTGTCTCATTCTCTCCCCACACACACACACCTGAAAGCCCTCTCTCAAGAGGAAAGCCTTACAGTCTCAGGTCTTGTCTTCCTTCGACAGCCAGCTGCCGGCACAGGGTACTCAAGGTCTAGGAGGGATCCAAGATCAGAGTGGGGACCCAGCAGCCTCGCTGTTTTCAGTTTCTTCCACTTCTGTGTTACTAACATCCTTAACCCCAGTGCTACTCTGATAGGTGAGGCCGGCCAGCCCTCTCTGCGGGACGCTCCCTACTCATTCTCCAGAACTAGATTCACTGAGGTGCATCTACCACACGCTGGGCCTCCCCATTCCTTTCTCCTTTCCTCATGGCCAAGGTGTATCTCCTGCCACTCCCTGTCATCGTTACCTATTTTCTGAGCTACTCAAAGAGGATTTGGTAGGCTTCTGTGCTCGTTCTCTCTCTGTCTCTCTTTCTGTCTCTCCCCTACTTAATCTGTTTAGGCTCAAAACTTTCCAGCATTTGTTCCAAATACTGAAGGCTAACACAGAAGTCAATCAATTGCATTCAACATTGCTGGGGGGGGGGGGGGAGAGCGCTCCTCAGTACAAGCCGGAGAGCCAAGCAAAAGGCTCACAGTGGAGTTCAGGACACACACACACACACACACACACACACACCACACACACACACCAGGAATATAAAGCAGGAGAAGACAAAGTCCTTGCACCCAGAGAGCTGGGTGACCAAACAGAGCAGGTGACCCCATGGCCTAACATTGTGGGTGGCCCCTCTTACTGGCCTGAGACCAGGTCATCAAGGCTGCCCTCAGCTCTGTGACCCCAGCGGGAGCACATGGATAAGCTGCCAGAGGAAGGAGGCCCCCATTTGTTTATTTTTTCCTACAGAGTGTCCTACACTCAAAGCCCTGGTAAGGAGTACCTGTTATCACTGACTCAAACACACACGCTGCAGTTGTCTTTTGGTGACCTCCCTTGGCCATTGAAAGCTGCCCTAGACATTCACTTTAACCTGGTTTCTCCAGGGAGAGTGGAGGGGAGTGAGAAGAGGACATCTGTGGAACTGGCCTTGGTGTCCAGCACCGCCTTCCTTGTTCATGCGAGTAGCCCTGAAGCCCTGTGTGGATCTTTACGCGTTCACACTGCTGGCTGTAACCAGCAGGTGGCGCTGTGCTCACAGGCGCCTGACCTCCAGCCTGGCAGGTGGTCGGAGCTCAGATCCAGACTGAGCTGAGGTGGATCTGGCTCCTAGGATCCAGGCTCAGAGCTAGGTGCTAGTGGTACCCCAGTAATTCTCAAACCCGAGCGTGCATCAGCAGGCCTGGAGGACTTGTCAAAACACAGATTCCTAGAACTTGTTCCCAGAGCTCTCGATTCAATGTGTTTGGGATGGGGCCCGAGAATTCACATTTCAAACAAGTTCCCCGGG